TTAGTCGGTCTGAATGATGTTTCGCGGACCGTCTCCTAGACATGTTTTCATCATAGGTCACGTGCGTAGTGTCTCAGTCGTATGAATACACGAACTACTTTAAGATCCGAACAGAACATTTAAAAAAAAAGCGACATAACCGTATGTTTTGAGGAATTATTTGAAATCCTTTAGAACAAAAAAACCCAATTACTTTCACGATGTATATATATGAAAATATACATATATAAAACTGAGTAAGTGTTTTTAAATAAACACAAGACTATTAGCCCCACAGCAGAGGCGTAGCGAGGGTGTTTGGCGCCCGGGGGACAAGATGCATTTTAAAGAACCCCACTTTTCTTTTTTTCAGCTCTCAAACCCATTATTTTTACCAATAATATAATATCAAGGCACCTTTTGGCGCCCCTACCTAGCTTGCGCCCGGGGACATCTGTCCCCCCCTCGCTACGCCTCTGCCCCACAGTTATCAAAACAATTAGTCACTGATGACATCATATAATGCTTGTACTTTATTAAAAGTGACTCACTCTAGAACAGAAATATTAAAAAAACAATATGATGTATCCTAGTGGGTTTTTTAAAATATTGAAAATGTTTCAAGAAGTAAGTGACTCGGTGTCTTTTCCAGTGTTAACTTCAAAGTGCAGACCGTTTTCAGAAGTTCACTAACCATTTTAATCTTGCGTTGACAATCTGACATTTTCCATATAGAAATGTACTCTGTTCGATGAAGACACGGGTACTTCCATATATATATATATATATATATATATATATATATATATATATATATATATATATATATATATATATATATAAAGACGTGTTTAAAAAAACAATTAAATAATAATAATAATAAAGTTCATTTCAAAAACACGCTTCATCCCCAAAGGCTCGAAGCGCGGTACCACATTTAAAACAAACGCAACACTACAAAAACTAATTACTAGCATACAATTGCAAAGTCTTTCTAGCCATTTCAACCCCAAGCACATACGCTACAATGAACGAGCAAGTGCACAAACACTTCTTTTATTTTGGTAATGAAAAGCAATTAAAATTGTATGCACATGCTAATCATGTTGAACACAATTTTGTCATTTCTGACACCACTTCATTATTAAAAAAAAAATTCTTGATCAGTTGACTTTACACTTAGAGCCCTTACTCAACGGTGTAGCTATGTTCAGTGCCACGAGTGGGAGGGGGGAGGGTAAACAATTTTTTCGCCCCCTTCCTTGAAAACAGTTCTGCAAGTTGCTGAAAAGGCCACCACCCCTTTAAAAAAAAAAGGCCCCCCCCCCCGGGGGGGGGGGGGCAGACCGCCGCTCCGCATCTCCTCCCGACGCCAATGACCCCACTCTTGAACAGAGGTGATGAGATGTTTTTGTGCAGTTCATTAATTATTGGATAGGTTAGTCACGTGAATGAATGACAAACTTGCAGTGGCCGATGTATGTTAACATTGTCTGGCAAGTGGGATGGTGTACGTTTGGGTGTACGTGTGGGTGTACGTGTGTGTTTATGTGTGGGTGTATGTGTGGGTGTGGACGTTTTGATACAAGAGCCCCTCAATACGCGTATTTAACTAACTAATTGAACTTTTTAAAAAAGTTACGAATCAAATAGAAATACAAAATGAACTTTTGTTTATAAATTTTCCTAAACAATAGATAATAAGGAAAGAATTTAATTTTTTTTAAATTTCTTATTTTTACAGGTCAGGTGTTCAGTGCAGAAAGGCGGTGTACAGGACTGATTCAAGTACTCAGTGCAGAAAGGCGGTGTACAGGACTGATTCAAGTGTTCAGTNTTTGTTTATAAATTTTCCTAAACAATAGATAATAAGGAAAGAATTTAATTTTTTTTAAATTTCTTATTTTTACAGGTCAGGTGTTCAGTGCAGAAAGGCGGTGTACAGGACTGATTCAAGTACTCAGTGCAGAAAGGCGGTGTACAGGACTGATTCAAGTGTTCAGTTCAGAAAGGCGGTGTACAGGACTGATTCAAGTGTTCAGTGCAGAAAGGCGGTGTACAGGACTGATTCAAGTGTTCAGTGCAGAAAGGCGGTGTACAGGACTGATTCAAGTGTTCAGTGCAGAAAGGCGGTGTACAGGACTGATTCAAGTACTCAGTGCAGAAAGGCGGTGTACAGGACTGATTCAAGTACTCAGTGCAGAAAGGCGGTGTACAGGACTGATTCAAGTACTCAGTGCAGAAAGGCGGTGTACAGGACTGATTCAAGTACTCAGTTCAGAAAGGCGGTGTACAGGACTGATTCAAGTACTCAGTGCAGAAAGGCGGTGTACAGGACTGATTCAAGTGTTCAGTGCAGAAAGGCGGTGTACAGGACTGATTCAAGTGTTCAGTTCAGAAAGGCGGTGTACAGGACTGATTCAAGTGTTCAGTGCAGAAAGGCGGTGTACAGGACTGATTCAAGTACTCGGTGCAGAAAGGCGGTGTACAGGACTACGGGTGAAAAAACGAAGAGTCTATATATGCACTGCAAGAATTTCCGAAACGAAATAGTTTTGAAAAAAGAACTTTACAGAAGACTTCACAGTTACTCAGCTTTAAAGTTAACACCTTTTTTTTTTTTAAAGAAATAAAATTGGATTGACGAAGAGCTTAAAAAAATCACGACCTTGACATTTTAAAAAAAAAAAAAAAGGATTAAAAAAATAAATAACTTAACAATACGAAAATCAGTTTTTTTTTAAAATTAGTAGTTCAAATTTCTATGTTTCTTTATTGGCGCTGAAAGATGGCTCGCTCACAGAAAATATGGGATTGGATTACTTTGATGTTAGTTTTAAAAAATGTGAACTATTCTTATTCAGATTCGCGAAAGGGCCAAATGGTGACGCTATATATAGCCCAAGAGGGTAAGTGAAATTGTTACAAAGTTTTTTTACATTCTATTTATAAACATATTATGCCACCTGTGAAGGCAGACTCGGCTGAGGTCGATGGTGGAAGTCTGGTTGGGGGGGGGGGGATAAAAACTTGAGTTTACCTAGATTGGGGCCAACAACCCCCAAGGTGGAAGTGTGGTTGGGGGGGGGGGAGAAAACCTTGAGTTTACCTAGATGGGTGCCAACAGCCCCCAAGTGACGCCTCTGTTTAAAATCATCTAACTCAACCGTCGCTGGGGAGGGGCGTGTGTCTATTTCTCACTGCCAACAAAATCTACATATTCTGTGTATAATAATTATTCTAAACATTTACTAAAAGAAGTAACATATCAAAGATACTTCTAAACATTTGCTAAAATAAGTAACGTTTCAAAGATACTTCTAAACATTTGCTAAAATAAGTAACGTTTCAAAGATACTTCTAAACATTTGCTAAAATAAGTAACGTTTCAAAGATACTTCTAAACATTTGCTAAAATAAGTAACATTTCAAAGATACTTCTAAACATTTGCTAAAATAAGTAACATTTCAAAGATACTTCTAAACATTTGCTAAAATAAGTAACATTTCAAAGATACTTCTAAACATTTGCTAAAATAAGTAACGTTTCAAAGATACTTCTAAACATTTGCTGAAAAAAGAAACATTCGAAAGATAGTTCAAGTCCTAATTCATTCTTTGATTTTTACCATCCAGACATAACCATTCCTTATAAGAAAATAGGTTTGTTAAATGATATAATATTCTATTTACTGCTCAACACAGTAAAGTAGATTATACATTAATATCAACAGAGTAATACTTGTACTGAAAACAGTAAGACTCATAATTTGTTATGGGATTTCAAATACAAAATTTGAAGCGTAGACAAGTCGACAAGTGAATTTATCGCATGAATTACAAAAATCAGCATCTATAGATTACATTAAATTATAAATGTATGACGAAAAACTCTTAATGTAAGAAGAGATTGCAACCTCTTGATGTAAGACTAACTAAAAATGGAAATATAATTATTTGTCACTTGATTTCTCACTTCCAATATGGCTGCTTTGCGTACTGTTCCGTTTTTTTTGTTTTGTTTTTGTTCTTCTTTATTTTTGCCTCTTCCAACGTACTAATGCGTGATCTAAGTTAACATTAAGATGAATTTCTCACAAAGTTTCAGTCTCATTGGTTCAAACACAATCTCATCTGATCTGTTAATGTTTAATGCAAACCACCCGATGTCTGCTTATGTTCCCCACCCCCAACCCTTCTACTCCTGACACGTCCATCAGGGGTCAAGATCAACGCGGCCGCCGTGCAGTACACTCTCATCACCACACCGATGACTTGGAGCGACGCCCAGGCGCACTGTGTGAGGTTGTACGGCGGCACCTTGGCCAGGCTTGATGAGGCTGAGATCGTGACGCAAATATTCAAAGTGCCAGGTTCTCCGTGAGTATTTTTCAGTATCTGTACTATTAGAAACTTGGGCATGTAACACGGGGAACAATATAAACAACAACAATAAAAAAAAAAACACGAACTAAGTCCAACGGGATTTTACACCTTTGTATCAAGTGATGTTTGAAAAAAATCGTTAAAAAAATAACATAATTAGGAAAGATTACACGTGAAATCGTGTGAGAGGGATCAGAAAGTGGTTGATGTAAGTAGATCAGAAAGTGGTTGATGTAAGTAGATCAGGAACTGGTTGATGTAAGTAGATCAGAAAGTGGTTGATGTAAGTAGATCAGAAAGTGGTTGATGTAAGTGGATCAGGAAGTGGTCGGTGTAGATAGATCAGGAAGTGGTTTGTATGGGTAGATCAGGAAGTGGTTGGTGTAGGTAGGTCAGGAAGTGGTTGGTGTAGGTAGGTCAGGAAGTGGTTGGTGTAATTAGATCAGGAAGTGGTTGGTGTATGTTGAACAGGAAGTGCTTGGTGTAGGTAGCTCAGAAAGTGGTTGGTGTAGGTAGCCAAGGAAGTGGTTGATGTTTGTTGAACAGGAAGACACTGACGGTTTTTACTTTACAGGAACAAATTCTGGGTTGGCTTGTACTGCGCTGACGATAATTGCAAGGATGTTTTGTGGTCGGACGGCGATCCGTTTATCAAGAGCACTGACATGACTGTCGATACAGGAAGTGGCTCAAAGGCAAGTAGAGGCAACTCATGCAGTTCAATATTTGACGCAGTGCTGTAAACAGATAACACTCGTAAAATCGTAAACCTGGTTATTTTTACGTTTAACTTTGAGATAACGATAACTGAAGTGCTGAATGTTATGTCAACGTTACACCCTGCGCCCGTTAACAGTTTAAATTTAGTTAACCCGCGAACGCTAACTTACCAAGATCATGATAACACTGTTTTTGATATATCATTTCCAAAGAGTTTCCTAATTTGATCACGCTGAATTTTCTATCACGTGATTAGCAGCCATGATTTGAGGTCAAGCCTAGTTTAATAAAAAAATGATATCTTCCGGGTTTTTTTACTTTTAGTTTTGCATTTACCTTAAATTATAATTTTGCGTTTTTTTTTTTTAAATTCGACAAAGAAGGCTTTTGGCCGATACCGTTATCTTGGGTTGTTTTATCAAGTTTATCACGACCCGTTTAATACTTATTTCCTATATTGCGCTTTGGGCTCCCGTGCACGCACATCTTACAAGGAAATTAACCGCAGCTTTCGCCAACGTCGTAAAATGTGATGTGTTATTTATTTCAGGGGAAAATGTACTTTTTCGCCAGCACCGGCGCAGCAACAGAGTTGAAACGTGACGTCGGCTCCGCTGCAAATGCCTTTGTCTGCGAGCACCGAAGCAACGGTAAGTAAAGATCAGCATTCTATAGTTATCCACCCTTAACCACTGCAAAGCCGTGGATTTGTAAGTGTCATTAAAAACAAGCTACATAACCTCATGTGTTATAACATGAACCGTATAGTTGGACATCTAAAATAAGTCTCCTTTTAAGTCTCTTATAACCGGAAGCATAAAACAGGACAGCTAAAAAACGTCTATTTTAACCTAAATGATAAAAGTGCAGCTAAGATAAGTATCTGTTAACCCAGACCATATGAAAGTACAACTAAAAAAAAAATTATCTTTTGATCTAGACCCTGTTACAGGACGACTTAAAATAAGTCTCTTTTTAACCTAAGTGGTATAACATGACATCTAAAAATAAGTCCATTTTAACCTAGACGATTTTAAAGTTCAGCTAAAAACAAGTCTTTTTTTAACCTAGTCGGTCTAACAGCTCTTTTAGATGAGGCTCAAAGTTGTACTACTTTGTCTTCAAAATTGTTTAGGAAGTGTACACCATTAAGGTCTGTTCTGTAACCAGATTTCCACAGATTACATTTTTCTAATTTTGTTTCAAATAAGTAGAAGGAAATACGAAGCTATGGACCTCACAAAAAGGGAGAGCTACAAAACCTTTTGTCACAATTAAACGAGAGTCTTCACTCACTAATTAAAAGGGTTACATCTGTACAATACCTTTTTAATACATTTCAATAACGTCTACTTTTTTACGGATTCGTGCTATTTTTTTCCAGCCTCATACTGTGGCGTCACTTGCTCTGGTGCAGCGAATTGCAATACCACAGGCTACAGTGTGTCGGGCATACGTCAGGATGAATGCAGGACGCTATGTCGGACCAAGAACGGATGCTGGATGTATTGGTTCGATGACAAGCAATGTCTGCTGGGCGTATTGAGCTGTTGGAAAGGTAAGAGTTGGTGATTGTAGCAAACAATGTGACAGGTAAGACCAGGTGTCTCAAAATCGCGGCCAGTGGGCCGTTTGCGGCCCAGACGACGATATTTTGCGGTCCGCGACATGACAGCAAAATTTAGTGTTAATGGGGACCGCGCATTCTCCCCATTCTGATATCTATAACGTGACTCTCCGCGACAGTTTCAGTCGAACCTTATCGACTGGTCTGATTCTGACTGTTATCATGTTAGTATAGGTTTGGACGTTGATTATAACGCTAAAAACCGCTTTAAAAACAACAAACATGGCCAAAGTGCGGTTTTGAAACTTCACCCTGAGACGATTCCAGAATCTCATGGCACGTATTACCATATTATGTGGTAAATTATAGATTTGTTTTTTGTTGACTTTGTACCGCGCTTCGAGCCTTTGGGGATGAAATGGACTTTATTATTATTATTATTATTATATTATAATACGATGGGCACACAATTCTCTTTAATGAGGACAGTCCTTTAGCATCAGTTTAAAAAAAAAAAGATGAAGTCGAGGCTATTTATGTATAATCCGTTTAACCAGATTAACCAGGTTAACCAGGTTCATTGAAGTGGACCTGGACTAAAACAGAACATAGAAGATGCATTTGTTGGTTTTATCATCGAGTCACTGTTAGATTGTTTAAACTACTTTCTTCAGCAAGCCTTCATAGTGGTCCTGGCACTGCGACGGTGGATAGGACCGATACCCAGTCGAGACCACCAGATAGTGCAAGTGTGTCGCGTGAGTATCGTCTGTTATAGTGGGCCTAATATTGAACAAAAAAAAAACAAAACAAACAAAAAACAAAAAAAACAAAAAAAAAAACAAAAAGCAGGGGTGGTGGTATTTAATGTATTGGTTACACTGTCTTTTATGTATATATAAATACTAGCTGAATCCCCGTCGAAATTCCCGGGTGTAATTTAATTATTTAAAAAAAATAAAATAAAATATAATGATATATAATTTATATAATATTTAGTTGTACATTGCATTTGTATTTTGTTGATTAGGAAATAATTACTGAATAATCTCACAACCACCTAAAACTATTTAGCTCAGTAGCCCGAATGTTAATGACCGAATCCACGAGTTTGTATGCGTACCTACATTTTAGGAGGAAAAGTTTAACCTTATATTTTTGAAATGAAAACAAGTGAAACCAGACCGTGACGTGGTAGGATACGTCATATATGGGTTATTAATTATGTTTAAATTTAGCTACTCTCTTTCCCTCATTTGAGAATTGTAACAAACGCATGGCAGAAGGCCAGAAGAGTGAAGGATTTTTTTTTCCTCGCCACCTTTATTACTGCACTTGCTAGTTTCGTTTCTAAAGATGCCAGCTTGGAAAACATTGATAACGCAAATTAATGCAATAACTACTTACACATTGACTTAATCTATCACTGCTTCTGTTCACTGTAAGCCGTCGATAATCAATGAATGCTGCTTCTACCCAACAAAAAAAAAATGTACAGCTCCGACAGCCGCCATCTCAGAGCTAGCCATAACAACTGCCAAATGGGTAGCCGCTGGGACGGGATTCGTCACTGAGCTCCGCGCAGCGACATCGACGGCAACTGGCGGCACACTGGCGGACGCTGCAGCCGCCCGGACCATAACGGTATTCGCTACCCAAACTGTCACTGTCACGGCCAGTCCCGTGGCTCAGCTAGCACCCAGCACGTCGTGTCAGCCTGGCTGCACTGACACCGTCACTTTACACAGGTCAGAGGTCAGAACGAGACTTTGCTGCGGTATTAGTCTCATTTAATTCTTTCAAAGTTCATAATTTATTAATGTTCATTAAAAAAAAAATGTTTAAAATATTATTTCTGAATTAGTAGATAGATTGTTCCGTTAAATAAAAATCATAAAAAATAAATTCAGATCAAAAAAAAAATGTCAGATATATATTTGAAAAAACATTTTTGCCGGAACATTTTTGCCGGAACATTTCACAATTTAAACTTCTCAATCCACACCAATTTGCGTTGTATCTTATAACACCAACACTATCGTTCCTTAGCACGCACTCGTCACAATGTCCGGACGTTGTACACGACAGCGGTCCAAGTTCTGCTCTGATGACATCATTCCTTAATGTCGACACAGTGACGGCGTCTCGTCATGCGATCCCCACGTCAGCACTGGCGCCGGGCAGCGTGATGTTGGCATCGTCGTCGTCGCTCAGGTCAAGGTCAACGGCGACAGTTCACACCGAGGGCCATTCCTCACAATACACGACCTCACCGCTCTCTGATTTAGTGGTGAGTAAATCTCGTCAATGTGATGAAGAACAAAGCTAATCACACGACCAGCGGCGTAGCTAAAGGTTGTTGTCTACCGGTGCGGTAAACTCATGGCGTCACTCCCCCCCCCCCCCCCCCTCATCCCCCCCCCCCAACCTGGATTTTTTCTTTTTATAATAAATCCACATTGTAACAATGACAAGACACATGACCTCACCGCTCTCTGATTTAGTGGTGAGTAAATCTCGTCAATGTGATGAAGAACAAAGCTAATCACACGACCAGCGGCTTAGCTAAAGGTTGTTGTCTACCGGTGCGGTAAACTCATGGCGTCACTCCCCCCCCCCTCCCCCTAATCCCCGACTCCCAAGTTGGATTTTTTCTTGTTAAAATAAGTCCACAGTGTAACAATGACAAGACACATTGATTAAAGATCAGGAGGTAAATGTATTTAAGAAGCTAAGCATGTACTTAGAAGGACCACCCAGTGGTATAAATGGAAAGCTTTATTTCTCAGACGTTAGATAAGTATAGCATCCTGTATCGAAAGTTACCGAATACTTCAATCGGCGTTGAAACATGGTCGAAAAGGTGTTTTTTTCTGACCCAATTGTAGGGTTACCTCATTTCTGACGCATTAACCTTGAAATAGGATTGGTTACATGGGTGGAAAATGTACACGAAAGCGTTTATCCTTTTATGAAATGCGGTTAGACCGAGCAGTATGTGTTCTGTAGTATGCCATTTTTCAATTTGGTGTCGGTACGGTACTCAGCTCCCGCACCCCTTAGCTACGCCACTGGACACGATGATATTATTTACACCTTTAAAGCATTTCTGGAGGACGAACTGGATGTATAAAAAAACCCAAACAATACAGCCACAACTAAAAACAACTGACTTCATTAAAAATATGAAAGCCTCGTTCATTGCTGACAGACGCATAGAGTTGAAAGTTTTAACATACGATAACAAGACAAAATAGTTTAATTAAAAACCAAGACTTACCTTTTTTGGGGTCATTGCAGATGTAGTCAGCAGCTCACAATCGTGTCGGCGCAATCAATCACACAAAATGATGCTTTCAAATCTTGTTTAAACAAAACTCATCCTTGCCTACCACTCTCACAAAACTCACCCTTGCCTACCACACTCACGAAACTCATCCTTGCCTACCACTCTCACAAAACTCACCCTTGCCTACCGCACTCACAAAACTTATCCTTGCCTACCACTCTCACAAAACTGATCCATGCGTACCACTCTCAAAAAACTCATCCTTTCCTACCACTCTCACAAAACTCACCCTTGCCTACCGCACTCACGAAACTCATCCTTGCCTACCACTCTCACAAAACTCACCCTTGCCTACCGCACTCACAAAACTTATCCTTGCCTACCACTCTCACAAAACTTATCCTTGCCTACCACTCTCAAAAAACTCATCCTTTCCTACCACTCTCACAAAACTCATCCTTGCCTTCACACTCACAAAACTCATCCTTGCCTACAACTCTCACAAAACTCACACTTGCCTACCACTCTCACAAAAATCATCCTTGCCTACCTCACTCACAAAACTCATCCTTGCCTACCTCACTCACAAAACTAATCCTTTCCTACCACTCTCACAAAACTCATCCTTGGCTACCACACTCACAATGTGATTACCAAAAAAAAACAAAGATATATTCTTGAAGAATCGCCATATATCTCACAGCTGACCCTAACACTAACAGGGTATTCTCCCCCACTTCTCAACGTATTACCTTCAGACGGGATAAAAATCTATGTGACCTTATGGCTCACAGTCACTTTTGAGTTGATCTCTCTCATATTGGTACTAAACCATCTTGAATAAGCCATTGTAAGGCTTGCTCCTACGTACTTGAAACTGAACGCAATTGATTCCCTCAGGTTGCCCTTAGTTTCAAAGGGGGCTTCACATGGATTAGTTAGCATGTGATCTATGTGATTTTTTCTCGAAGATGCCGCTTCTGTTACATAGGTGAGACGCCGAGACGGCTATCTGATAGGCTCAGTGAACAACCTCGTAATTTAGAACAAAACAATCCATCATTCCCGATCTCATCCCACTTCAACGTAGGTGAACACAAGGGCCACACCAGATTTTTCCGTAGCGACCTTCATTCTTTGCACTTATACACCAGCCAGAATGAGGAATGAAAACAAAATAAATCAAAATTTTCGGTACCATGTCACTATATGAGCAATATGGCATAAATTAAATACTATCATACCAGTGGTCCTCAATTTCCCGCAATTTCTATTCTCATTAATTAAAAAAAAATATTTACTTAAATGTGACTAAAAATCCTTTCAGCTTGGTCGTACGCAACAAGGAATTTGTGGGACTTACGTTTTTTTGGTTTCGAACCACTTAACTTCCGTTTCGAACACGGAGAGGCTTTAGCTCGTAGACAAAAAGCTTCCTTTGAGATCTTCTAACACGTTCGCATTGTGTTATCTTAATGTTTGATGTTTCTTATTGTGTCTTGTCTGCCGCAGAATGCGTTGAGTTGAATCGTTATTTTAACTGCGCTATCTTTTTCATTTCGAGCTCAAACATTCACTTACTTCTCGCGGCCTTGAACGCAGTCCCTCAAATGCAATTAGACGTATTTCAACACACGAGTAACCAACCAGTATACAAATATTAAAAAAATAAATATAATACAAAAATATATTTTAAGATCAAAATCATATAATTTTAAATTCCGCTTGTAATCTTTAAAATGTCATGCCTCCCCAGGTGTCGTTCAGCGCCCCATGGCACGCCCCGAGCTCCTCACTCCCGTTTGCCCGACAGCGCAAGGAGCTCCGCGCCGCCATCGTTGAGAAGCTGACGATCCCCCGGGTTGACCTGTCCAAGACAAGGCGGACCAAGATCAGCGTGCACGACACCCGGCCCGTGGCGACCGTGTCCGGGGCAACCGCTTGCATTTTCTTGGGCTGTTCCGTGGCGGCCATAGTGGCACTGGATGTGCCCGTCTTAGTGAAGCACCTGAAGCACATCCTTCGACGCTGCAAGAGATAGCAGCTGAGGAATCGGCCCTTTTTGTTTTAACATTATTTCTAAAAATAATATATTTATATCAGCCTCAAGTTGTCACGTGTTTAATATTTCAGTGTTCCAGTTAAGAGTGTGTGTGTGTGGGGGGGGGGAGGGGGGAGGGGGGAGGGGGGTGAATTTAAAAAAAGATACGAACGGTAATTTTTAGGATTAACGTGTTGAAACATTGACTTGGAACACTTCATTATCACAACAGTTCACAGTAGAGTCTACAGTAACGACTCAAAGGACTTATCCAACCCCCCCATGAGCCATTACACATTTGATGTTTCGGGAATACACATGCAATGATTAAGTCATATCCCTGTAAATATAGACTCCATGGGACTTCACATGCAATGATGACGCCATATTTCTGTAAATATGGACTCCATGGGACTTCACATGCAATGATGACGCCATATTTCTGTAAATATGGACTCCATGGGACTTCACATGCAATGATGACGCCATATTTCTGTAAATATGGACTCCATGGGACTTCACATGCAATGATGACGCCATATTTCTGTAAATATGGACTCCATGGGACTTCACATGCAATGATGACGCCATATTTCTGTAAATATGGACTCCATGGGACTTCACATGCAATGATGACGCCATATTTCTGTAAATATGGACTCCATGGGACTTCACATGCAATGATGACGCCATATTTCTGTAAATATGGACTCCATGGGACTTCACATGCAATGATGACGCCATATTTCTGTAAATATGGACTCCATGGGACTTCACATGCAATGATGACGCCATATTTCTGTAAATATGGACTCCATGGGACTTCACATGCAATGATGACGCCATATTTCTGTAAATATGGACTCCATGGGACTTCACATGCAATGATGACGCCATATTTCTGTAAATATGGACTCCATGGGACTTCACATGCAATGATGACGCCATATTTCTGTAAATATGGACTCCATGGGACTTCACATGCAATGATGACGCCATATTTCTGTAAATATGGACTCCATGGGACTTCACATGCAATGATGACGCCATATTTCTGTAAATATGGACTCCATGGGACTTCACATGCAATGATGACGCCATATTTCTGTAAATATGGACTCCATGGGACTTCACATGCAATGATGACGCCATATTTCTGTAAATATGGACTCCATGGGACTTCACATGCAATGATGACGCCATATTTCTGTAAATATGGACTCCATGGGACTTCACATGCAATGATGACGCCATATTTCTGTAAATATGGACTCCATGGGACTTCACATGCAATGATGACGCCATATTTCTGTAAATATGGACTCCATGGGACTTCACATGCAATGATGACGCCATATTTCTGTAAATATGGACTCCTTGGGACTTCACATGCAATGATGACGCCATATTTCTGTAAATATGGACTCCATGGGACTTCACATGCAATGATGACGCCATATTTCTGTAAATATGGACTCCATGGGACTTCACATGCAATGATGACGCCATATTTCTGTAAATATGGACTCCATGGGACTTCACATGCAATGATGACGCCATATTTCTGTAAATATGGACTCCCACGAATTTGTTGAATACGTTTTGATGATGCTAGTCGTTGGGGGTTGTGTATCGGGTGTAGACCAGGGGTTGTGTATCGGGTGTAGACCAGGGGTTGTGTATCGGGTGTAGACCAGGGGTTGTGTATCGGGTGTAGACCAGGGGTTGTGTATCGGGTGTAGACCAGGGGTTGTGTATCGGGTGTAGACCAGGGGTTGTGTATCGGGTGTAGACCAGGGGTTGTGTATCGGGTGTAGACCAGGGGTTGTGTATCGGGTGTAGACCAGGGGTTGTGTATCGGGTGTAGACCAGGGGTTGTGTATCGGGTGTAGACCAGGGGTTGTGTATCGGGTGTAGACCAGGGGTTGTGTATCGGGTGTAGACCAGGGGTTGTGTATCGGGTGTAGACCAGGGGTTGTGTATCGGGTGTAGACCAGGGGTTGTGTATCGGGTGTAGACCAGGGGTTGTGTATCGGGTGTAGACCAGGGGTTGTGTATCGGGTGTAGACCAGGGGTTGTGTATCGGGTGTAGACCAGGGGTTGTGTATCGGGTGTAGACCAGGGGTTGTGTATCGGGTGTAGACCAGGGGTTGTGTATCGGGTGTAGACCAGGGGTTGTGTATCGGGTGTAGACCAGGGGTTGTGTATCGGGTGTAGACCAGGGGTTGTGTATCGGGTGTAGACCAGGGGTTGTGTATCGGGTGTAGACCAGGGGTTGTGTATCGGGTGTAGACCAGGGGTTGTGTATCGGGTGTAGACCAGGGGTTGTGTATCGGGTGTAGACCAGGGGTTGTGTATCGGGTGTAGACCAGGGGTTGTGTATCGGGTGTAGACCAGGGGTTGTGTATCGGGTGTAGACCAGGGGTTGTGTATCGGGTGTAGACCAGGGGTTGTGTATCGGGTGTAGACCAGGGGTTGTGTATCGGGTGTAGACCAGGGGTTGTGTATCGGGTGTAGACCAGGGGTTGTGTATCGGGTGTAGACCAGGGGTTGTGTATCGGGTGTAGACCAGGGGTTGTGTATCGGGTGTAGACCAGGGGTTGTGTATCGGGTGTAGACCAGGGGTTGTGTATCGGGTGTAGACCAGGGGTTGTGTATCGGGTGTAGACCAGGGGTTGTGTATCGGGTGTAGACCAGGGGTTGTGTATCGGGTGTAGACCAGGGGTTGTGTATCGGGTGTAGACCAGGGGTTGTGTATCGGGTGTAGACCAGGGGTTGTGTATCGGGTGTAGACCATGGGTTGCGTATCGGGTGACCATAGGTGTAATAGGTGATTTAAAAAAAAACATCTACCCCTCCTCCCCCCCTCCCAACAAATGTGTTCACCCCGACGTTGCCCTTCTACTTGAACGGGAGACAAAATCATTCATGGAGTACCGGTATTGCAATTCAAGTGCTTGGACCTTATAAAATATTTCTTATATACGCAGGCTACAATTAGTACATAATATTCGCGACAAAATATATTAATAGAGATCCTCATTATAGAACAAAAGGGATTTCGTTGGTAATTGATTCACGTCTGGTTTATGAGAAACGCTGTGTAATAGCAACATTGGATTTTGTCAAACATAACTGTCTTATTAGTGGGTTCGATAGGTTGTTTGAATAATTTTCTATGCTTATTACAGTTGAAAAATCCTTGTTCGCAAAGACAGCTTGCTGCAAAACGCAGGAACTTTTTTTCACTGCCTCCTGGTGTGCAATTTCGACCGACAGACTTTACGGCACTTCATATCTTTGAGCAGAAGAAATAAAATAGGCGACTGGCCTAATGATAATGGCGCGCATAAGTCGAGAATGGCGGTTACGCTAACTGCCCAGCCAAAAGTAAAACACATCATGTCTGGTGCGGCTTTCCGGTAAAACTTGCAAGGTGCATTAATGCCAGAAATAAAATTCAGTCGTTGCAACAAAAGCGCCTTTTAATGTAATTTTTGGTTATTTCCTTTGAGCTCTCATCACCCTAAAGGTTTGAATTTTTTTGAGCACTCATCACCCCAAAGATTTGAATTGTTTTGAGCACTCATCGCCCTAAAGATTTGAATTTTTTGAGCACTCATCACCCCAAAGATTTGAATTTTTTTAGCACTCATCACCCCAAAGATTTGAATTTTTTTGAGCACTCATCACCCCAAAGATTTGAATTTTTTTGAGCACTCATCACCCCAAAGATTTGAATTTTTTTGAGCACTCATCACCCCAAAGATTTGATTTTTTTTGAGCACTCATCACCCAAAGTTTTGAATTTTTTTGAGCACTCATGACCCCAAAGATTTGAATTTTTTTTAGCACTCATCACCCAAAAGTTTTGATTTTTTTTAGCACTCATCACCTCAAAGATTTGAATTTTTTTTAGCACTCATGACCCCAAAGATTTGAATTTTTTTGAGCACTCATGACCCAAAGATTTGAATTTTTTGAGCACTCATCACCCCAAAGATTTGAATTTTTTAGAGCACTCATCACCCCAACGATTTTGATTTTTTCGAGCACTCATCACCCCAAAGATTTGGATTTTTTTGAGCACTCATCACCCAAAAGATTTTGATTTTTTGAGCACTCATCACCTCAAAGATTTGGATTTTTTCGAGCACTCATCACCTCAAAGATTTTGATTTTTTTGAGCACTCATCACCCCAAAGATTTTAATTTTTTCGAGCACTCATCACCTCAAAATTTGGATTTTTTCGAGCACTCATCACCCCAAAGATTTGGATTTTTCGAGCACTCATCACCCAAAAGATTTGGATTTTTTTTAGCCTACATTACCCCAAAAGTTGTGATTCTTTTGAAGCAGGGACTACATGCTATTAGATATAAGATGCTTTAACAAAAATCAACATTTTTTTTACACACACACACACACACACACATATATATATATATATATATATATATATATATATATATATATATATATATATATATACGTTTTTACACATAAACACCATACATCAGTAACAATGACTGCTGCAGGCTGTGGTAGCAATCAGCAGTGGTTGCAATCAAATGATAATTTCATCGGGTCATGTCAAGCGAACCACGCGTTGAAACTTTTACAACAAGAAAACCAACAAAACAAATGGGAGATGGGTTGATCGATTTTGTGCCACTCTCATGTTTACTTGGAAGATGCACACCTGTCTTTCTGTCCACGCCGCACCTTTCCGCAACCCCCTCTCCGCTGTGATTTTGATACATGACTAGAGATGACAGATCAACTGATGGCTGTTCGTACACGAGTCAAGTCAAGGAGATAATGCATGCAGGCAAGAGGAAATCTATTGCTAAAATTAAGATAATATTGTATCAGAAGGGAAACAGAATGGGGGTCAGGTTGGGAATATTAACTTCTTTAGAAAGATTTTTTTATTTAAAAATCGTCTATATTCATAGAGGTTGTCTATAGTTTTATGTGAACGAGTATACTTCAAATTTACAAGCAAAAAAGAACTAGGCAAAACAACAACAAGATCAACAACAACACAACCTATCTGACATAAAAACACACACAAAAGAGGTTCATTATTTAAAAAAAAAAGAAAGAAATAGTATCTAAGGACGCTACACAAACAAGAGTAAGAAGAATGGTATCTAAGGATGCCTAAAAAAACAAGAGTAAGAAGAATGGTATCTAAGGATGCCTCAAAAAACAAGAGTAAGAAGAATGGTATCTAATGATGCCTCAAAAAACAAGAGTAAGAAGAATGGTACCAAAGGACACCCCACAAACAAGAGGGTATGAATGACAAAAATGTGAGTGTTGTAGGCTATGAATAGGCACAGTTCAAGTGATATAGGCATAGTTCAAGTGATCTAGGCATAGTTCAAGTAATCTAGGCGTAGTTCAACTGATCTAGGCATAGTTTAACTGATCTAGGCATAGTTTAACTGATCTAGGCATAGTTTTAGTGATATCCACTTTTTTTTGTTGTTTTTTGGTTGTTTGTTGCTTGGTCAAAGTGAATCCAATGAGTGATTAATCATTCACCCCTATCCAAGATGGTGGGTAGTAGTCATCATAGACAAATCCCAAAGCCTCTAATGAAAACGGAAGTGGAAATTTCTTATAGTAGATCACGTGGCCCCCTGACAGCCAACCAGCCCACCAGCCGTAGGACCCCACCGAAATGATCACGTGATCGCAGCTGGACAGGATGCCGAAATGCAGTTCTGCCGGCGCAGGTCCCAACACGACGACGTCCGTCCCACCGAGGTGTGCTCGGCACCACGCCAAATTATTGCCCGACACCAAATACACGACCCTCTTTCCAGGGAGGAGCTGCGACATTTTGAGAAAAGCCTTCTGGAAGTAAGTTACCGGGGCCTCGCACAGGATGCCGTTGGATTGGTCGTCTCGCTGTCGCACGTGCACGCCAACGAATACGACGTCTGATTGGTTGAACTTCCGGCGGATGTCGGCCATGATCTTCTCGACAGTGAGGCTGCAATGCAAATACAAATAAATTAATGTCTAAAAGACGCGTGTGTGCCAGCGCTGAGAAGGAATATTATTTTTAAAAAAAATGTATTGTTATTGAAACAAAGACATATACACTTATATGTTTGTAATTGAATTTTTAAAATTGATAAATCACTTGCTTTTTTTTTTTGTGTGTGGAAAAAAATTAACTAATTAAATCAATTTTTTCAGTTAAGAAATAAATAAAACCGTAATGTCTTATAGGGCACTGTGAATACACAACACATTGTTTTGGTTGGGATTTAAAATTGATTCCTTATATCTCTGTTTCACGGAGCTCTACAAAAAATCTAATTAGGTACCCGCAAACGGCTTAATCTATTCCACTGTCAAAGTGCGTTTTAGAGTCTGGCCTTAAAAGCCATGAACAATTTTAATTTCACATCGACATAGGATAAAAATGAAAGACTGAATTTCGTTTAAACGTAGCGCCTCTAGCTTACGTTCGGAAGTTTATAAGTAATTTACATATTTCCCTAAATTTAATATAGCATCACAAAAGTATGTTTTTATATTCTCTCGATTGAATCTACTCTTGTGTACAACAATATTTTAGTGTACTCACTGGTGCGTCTTTTGTAAAAACAAAAACAAACAAACAAACACCAAAATCTATTGTTCTATTATAACAATAAATAGTGGAACACGATATGTTTAGGCTAGACAGAGAGCCGCAGAAACACAGAGACACAGTCTGACACAGTGAGAACAGACTGACACAGGAAGAGACACGGGGAAAGACACAGGGGAAAGACACAGTCTGACGCAGAGACGCACACTGACACAGAGACACAGACTGGCGGAGCAACATTTTGATCTGGAAATATTTAAGTTCTCCAATTCCAAATAATGCGTTTCTCTATTCTCCTATTGTCCTGCTGACGCAGGCGTTTAGCCGAAACGGTTCTTTTGATTTGTTCTGTTGTTGTGTTTGTTTTTTTCCCCAAGCGTACACCTAACTCGTTCTACTGTTTTATTTCCTTCACATGCCTTTCACGCAGCACCCGATACCGTATGGGACTCGTTAACCTTGGATGACAACTCATCTGCAGCACCCGATACCGTATGGGACTCGTTAACCTTGGATGACAACTCATCTACAGCACCCGATACCGTATGGGACTCGTTAACCTTGGATGACAAATCATCTACAGCACCCGATACCGTATGGGACTCGTTAACCTTGGATGACAACTCATCTACAGCACCCGATACCGTATGGGACTCGTTAACCTTGGATGACAACTCATCTACAGCACCCGATACCGTATGGGACTCGTTAACCTTGGATGACAAATCATCTACAGCACCCGATACCGTATGGGACTCGTTAACCTTGGATGACAAATCATCTACAGCACCCGATACCGTATGGGACTCGTTAACCTTGGATGACAACTCATCTACAGCACCCGATACCGTATGGGACTCGTTAACCTTGGATGACAAATCATCTAAGAGAAGGCAAAACTCTGAAATCACAGTTGGAGTCCCGTAGTCGTAAAGCAAATTGAAACAATCAAGACACACTGCTGGTCATCTATTGCACTCTGGTCTATTTTCAGTCGTCTTGACTAGTCTTGCGATTGGCACAAAAAGGCAAGGACGAGATAGTGAGGCTGACGAATTGGGCAACTTTCACTCACTTTAAACAAAATACAGGCTCAAGTCAAGGTTTACTACTCAACACGAAACCTTGGTCATTTCCCATGCGAAAGACGAACAATATATTTATTTATTTTAAAAAAAAGTACAAATTTGAACAATTTTAAAACACGTCACTTGAGTTAGGTATCACAATGTTCCACTATTCGTATTTAAAACTTCACGTTTTTTCACTTCATACCGAAGTGGTGGACTCAGTGAAAACTCTCTTCTGATTTCATCCCTGACGCCATCAAAATACTTCCACGACTGCATGTAGCCAGCGATACGGACGTCACTGTTGGGGATGTGGGTGAACTTGGGATCAAAGTAAGCGTAGCCGGACTCAACAATCTTCGGCCACCTGTGTAGGAGGAAATATTTGTAAAATGTACTTGAAAAGAAAATCTTTTTTAGATGCTACTAGTGAATATTTTTGTCGAGGATTTAAGGAACGCATATCATCATAATAAAATTATATAAAAACCCAAACAAAATAAACTCACATAAAAATCCGTGTAGGTTCCTGATTGCTAAAACTTGCAGTAATTCTTACAGTGGCTATATACACACTAATTTGTGGCTATGTACAAACTAACCTTTTGGCTATATACACACTAATTTTTAGCTATGTAAACACTAAGGTCTAGAAGCTTGAAGATCAAGCCCCTTTACAATGATATTTTCCAATCTGGGGCGTTTGCAATACAGGGGTGGCAATTTGAAGATCATTTGGGCATTTAGTATCTGAGATATGAAATGTGTTATTTTTTGGTAAAAGCTTTTGGGGGAGGGGTTGGGCTAGGATGGTGGGATTAATGTTAGAGAAGAGACCTTAAAAAATGCTAACCCTTGTAAATGTTTGTCCTTCAATTTAATACAACAATAATTTAAATTACTGTAAAGTTTTATTCTACAACGCTGATACTCGCGGCCCAAACAGGCCACCAAATTACAATTAAGGCTTACATACGGGGAGAATGGATTTCTTCTTTACTAGCTCTTCCACTAAGGTGATTGGGAGACATTTATAGATGCTCAGGTAAGGCAAAGGCTCAGGTGAGTCAAAGACTCAGGTGGGTCAAAGGCTCAGGTGAATCAAAGAACAAACTCGATTGAAAAACAATAATTTAGGATCAACACAAATTTATTGTTTTTAAATAAATATTCATAAAATAAATTAAAAACATACATCTTTTTTCCAGTTGCAGTCTATAATGTGAGACTTTGACCCTCTTCAAAATGACTTAAAATAATATTCAATGCATGGCCATAAATGTATAAGCATTAGAGCCTCACCAAAATGTCGATGCGTGATACTCCACGTGGGTGAGGTTAAAAACTCGTGTCAAGTCCAGATCTTCCGTGTAAGGAAGCACAAACGGGTGACGTCCATTCGCCCTCGCGACTCCAAGCAGAGAAGCATATTTAAACAACTTGTTGCCCAGTCGGCCAGTGTCGTGGTCAATCGTCAGCAGCCAAAGGCGATGAGGTGCGGACGTTGCTAAGTGACTAGCATCACTAGCGTCACTAGCGTCACTAGCGTCACTAGCGTTTCCGGAAGTTGATTCGCAGCCGCACGTGGAATGACTTTCCGCGGAATCGAAAGTGAAAACGGGAAAATCCGCCGCATAAAAAACTTGTGGTGCGATGACGAGCAAAAAACATGCTAAAATTAGAGCCACCAGGAGGTAGTTGAAACATTTGGGTTTTAGTGGACACCACATCCTTTTCTGAAGTCAAGGGTCAGTTCGAATTCACCAGTGCCGCGTCGATTTTCTGTTTGCCTTGTGGAGAGAATGGCCCGTTGTTCTTTTTCTTTTCATTTTGAACGTTAAAATAAATTTCAGATGAACGAACAAAACATCCTATACATTAGTAATAAATTATCAACGCACAATTCACCAAGGCACATTTTAGAAACTTTCCGACGCCAGAGCTGTAACAAATTATCAACGCACAATTCACCATGACACTTTTTAGAAACTTTCCGACACCAGAGCTGTAATAAATTATCAACGTACAATTCACCATGACACTTTTTAGAAACTTTCCGACACCAGAGCTGTAATAAATTATCAACGTACAATTCACCATGATACTTTTTAGAAACTTTCCGACACTAGAGCTGTAATAAATTATCAACGCACAATTCACCATGACACTTTTTAGAAAATTTCCGACACCAGAGCTGTAATAAATTATCAACGCACAATTCACCATGACACTTTTTAGAAACTTTCCGACACCAGAGCTGTAATAAATTATCAACGCACAATTCACCATGACACTTTTTAGAAACTTTCCGACACCAGAGCTGTAATAATTTATCAACGCACAATTCACCAAGACACTTTCTAGAAACTTTCCGACGCCAGAGCTGTAAGAAATTATCAATGCACAATCCAACGAGACACTTTTAGAAACCTGCTGACATCAGAGCTATAAGAAATATCAATGCACAATTCACCAAGACACTTTTAGAAACCTGGTAACTTCAGAGCTGTAAGAAATATCAATGCACAATTCACCAAGACACTTTTAGAAACCTGGTGATGTCAGAGCTTTAAGAAATATCAATGCACAATTCACCAAGACACTTTTAGAAACCTGGTGACGTCAGAGCTGTAAAAAATATCAATGCACAATTTACCAAAACACTTTTAGAAACCTGGTGACGTCAGAGCTGTAAGAAATCATCAACACACAATTTACCAAGACACTGTTAGAAACTTGGCGATGTCAGTGCTTAAAAAAAATTATTCAACCCACAATTCACGTAGAAATTTTTAGAAACATGGTGACGTCAGAGCTGTAAGAAATCATCAATGCACAATTCACCAAAACACTTTTAGAAACCTGGCGATGTCAAGGCTGAAGTCCAACCTGTCGTTCCCTCCAGATGTAATCTATAAACAAAACTCTGGTGTGTTTGTTTAAGGATGAGCGGGCAAGAGCCCCGTGGTTGACACAAGATCAGGGCTTGTTAATGTTAGAACACCTGTTTGTTGACACAGCTGTAGAGAGATGTGACAGTTGTTTTTTGTGGTTTTAATCCGTAGTTTAACAAGGGACGCAGACTCAGTAACAGTCAACCCAAAGTAATTTTTCACCTTAGGACAAAAACTGAAAAGAGAGAAAAAAAAAGACTTTCAGCAATGATGTGCAATGTCTTTCTGTACTGTTACCCTTCTGACGTGCAATGTCTTTCTCTACTTGCACCATTCTGATGTGCAAAGACTCTCTCTACTTACACCATTCTGACGTGCAATGTCTTTCTCTCCTTGCACCATTCTGACGTGCCACGTCTTTATCTACTTGCACACTTCTGACGTGCAATATCTTTCTCTACTTACACCATTCTGACGTGCAATGTCTTTCTCCCCTTGCACCATTCTGACGTGCAATGTCTTTCTCTACTTACACCATTCTGACGTGCAATGTCTTTCTCCCCTTGCACCATTCTGACGTGCCACGTCTTCATCTAATTGCACCATTCTGACGTGCAATGTCTTTCTCTACTTACACCATTCTGACGTGCAATGTCTTTCTCCCCTTGCACTATTCTGACGTGCAATGTCTTTCTCTACTTGCATCATTCTGATGTGCAAAGACTTTCTCTACTTACACCATTCTGACGTGCAATGTCTTTCTCTCCTTGCACCATTCTGACGTGCCACGTCTTTATCTACTTACACACTTCTGACGTGCAATGTCTTTCTCTACTTACACCATTCTGACGTGCAATGTCTTTCTCCCCTTGCACCATTCTGACGTGCAATGTCTTTCTCTACTTACACCATTCTGACGTGCAGTGTCTTTCTCCCCTTGCACCATTCTGACGTGCAATGTCTTTCTCTACTTACACCATTCTGACGTGCAATGTCTTTCTCCCCTTGCACCATTCTGACGTGCAATGTCTTTCTCTACTTACACCATTCTGACGTGCAGTGTCTTTCTCCCNGTCATTTCCTCCTGCCCCACCCAAAAGACATGACCACGCCCCCCCTACAGCTTTGCCCTGACAGCTCACGAGGGCGTTAACAATTATTTTTTTTTAAAAACGTCCTTAATTTTTTTTTTTTTGTACACCACTACACACGCTCTTGGCCCCAGCGGACCGACCAATGATGTCCAACGATTTGCCGACGCCCCCAGTCCAGCGGCGGACACCGTCCATGACAAGAATTGGGGTTCTCACAACTGCACCAGTTATCTTCGGTACAAGCGTTTGAAAGTGCCAATAAAATTGATACTATTTATAACTGCATACGCTTCATGGAGTGTGGACTTCGCTTTTTGAACTTTGTTTCTTGCATGTAATCAATAGATCAATGCAAAGATTACAATCTGACGGGAAGTGTAACTTATTATAGATATTCTATAAACGAGTATCCTATGTATTTCAGAAATTAAACAAACAGATCGGTTCTCTTCCGCTAATTGACAATGTCCACCTTGTTCCGTGCGATCCCCTATGCCCACCCCAACATTATGGCTACCTCAAATTAAATCTGAAACCTTGAAAAAAAAATGCTAATTAAATAAATAAATCAAAATATAAATAAACTAATCAACAACTTATCAGGATCAACATTAAAGCAAAAATTTATGATGAAAATATTCACGAAAATGTAGTCAAACTAAGGAATGTTTGTTTCCTGGAGAAGACTTCCTGCCGAAGCGTTCGTTGTTTTGTTACGTCCCTGTTTTAGGCTTCCCCATTCTTTGTTCCACACATTTCCTTCTACGTAAACCTAAATTCAGTCTCATCCCACCCCCTTGTCTCCCCACCCACTCTTATTATCTAATACATTCGTCGGTGAACTGGGCTTGTCTTACTCCACCCATCACTGCCACGCTACAGCCCATATAGGGCTTTGGCCTGCCTCACCGCTTCCACCCATCCATCACTCTGGTGCTACAGCCCATATAGGGCTTTAGCCTGCCTCACCACTTCCACCCATCCATCACTCTGGTGCTACAGCCCATATAGGGCTTTAGCCTGCCTCACCACTTCCATCCATCCATCACTCTGGTGCTACAGCCCATATAGGGCATTGGCCTGACTCACCGCTTCCACCCATCCCTCTGGTGCTACAGCCCATATAGGGCTTTGGCCTGCCTCACCGCTGCCTTCCATCCATCACTCTGGTGCTACAGCCCATATAGGGCTTTGGCCTGCCTCACCGCTTCCATCCATCCATCACTCTGGTGCTACAGCCCGTATAGGGCTTTGGCCTGCCTCACCGCTTCCATCCATCCATCACTCTGGTGCTACAGCCCGTATAGGGCTTTGGCCTGCCTCACCGCTTCCATCCATCCATCACTCTGGTGCTACAGCCCATATAGGGCTTTGGCCTGTCTCACCACTTCCATCCATCCATCACTCTGGTGCTACAGCCCATATAGGGCTTTGGCCTGCCTCACCGCTTCCACCCATCCATCCCTCTGGTGCTACAGCCCGTATAGGGCTTTGGCCTGCCTCACCGCTGCCTTCCATCCATCACTCTGGTGCTACAGCCCATATAGGGCTTTGGCCTGTCTCACCACTTCCATCCATCCATCACTCTGGTGCTACAGCCCGTATAAGGCTTTGGCCTGCCACACCGCTTCCATCCATCCATCACTCTGGTGCTACAGCCCATATAGGGCTTTGGCCTGCCTCACCGCTTCCATCTATCCATCACTCTGGTGCTACAGCCCATATATGGCTTTGGCCTGCCTCACCGCTTACTTCCACTCAGACCTAGCTTTTTTTCCCCATCCTTGGATTCTCAGCTGCCGTAGATCTTTTTCCACCTCATCCATTCATCTCAGCCTAAATCTACCTTATAGTCGCTTTCCTCGTAAATTACCCCAAGTGGGACAGCAATGATAATCTTGGGGCTCAATAGATATAATTAAAATCATATACAATTTTTAATATGTTGACATATATATTTATCGTAAACCATCTCATATCTGTATCTTAATGTCTGGCTTTATCCCTTTTTTTTCTAGGTTTGAGAAAATCTGAAAAACACTCCAACATGGCATCACTTTAACTTTAGATGTTGCTGTGCTGTGTGGAATATTTTCTCATCTTTCTTCTTGTTATTTGATGAGCTCACATCTCAAGCAAACAGCATACTAATATATTATAAAAATTGTTATCATTAATCCAAATGTCTTCGTTTACTGGTTCAGTAACTCAGTTCAATCATTTCTATCCAGGAAAACATTTTGGAAAAATCAAATCTATTTGTTGTTAAGAATGTGTACAAAGAAAATGCTAGATGTTTCTTCAGTTGATATTAAGACTTGATTTTAAATACGTATAATATAATAAAATACATTGTTTATGTTGTAAATGTACTAACACATTAAATTTTTACCGTAACATATTTTCAGGAAACTTCTTTATATTTAAACATAAGTGATTTTGATAAAATGCTGATTATGATTCATAGATGCAAGAGAGGATTCAAATTTATTTTATCAGTTGTCGTTGGGATGTAGAATAATTGCCACCCATAATTCAAAATGAATCAAAGGGTTTTCACAATGTTTCTCTTTGAATGGTTGACATGAATGATGAACTAAAATAATTCATTTACTAATCAATTTGTTTTGGTTGTTTTTATTGATTTTGTTCTCAATGGTTGTGGCATGTTGTGTGTTGTAACAATCTAAACTTTCCTTGTTGTAACAATCTAAACTTTGTTGTAACAATCTAAACTTTCTCTGTTGTAACAAGCTAAACTTTGTCTAATGGAACAATCTACACTTTCTCTGTTGTAACAATCTAAACTTTGTCTGTTGTAACAATCTAAACTTTCTCTGTTGTAACAATCTAAACTTTGTCTGTTGTAACAATCTAAACTTTCTCTGTTGTAACAATCTAAACTTTCTCTGTTGTATCAATTTAAACTTTGTCTGTTGTAACAA